CAATGGAGCTCACGGGTCCTGTGAACAAAGGACGGTTTATTTTTCATTCCATGGATTTGTTTTTATCTGCTTCATTCATATTTTTCTCAGTTTAATTGAAGTGTAATTTACATACAATAGAATTCAACAATTTTAAGAATTCAGTGAGTTTTGTCAAGCATAAATAGTCACACCTCCACATACAGGATATAGCACATGTGTTGGCAGACTACAGCCCGTGGGCCAAATCCGGCTTCCACCCTGTTTTTGTTTTGTACCTTTTTAGAGTTGTAGAAAAATAAATAAGATGAAGAATATGCGACAGAGACCATATGCAACCCGCAGCACCTAAAATCTTTACCATCTGGCCTTTAGGCGGATGGTTTGCTGATACAGAATGTTTCCATCACTCCTTGGTGTTCCCGGCGGCCCCTCTGCAGGATTCCCCTCCCCCTCCCCCCCTGGCAACCACTGACCTGCTTTCTATCACTGTAGTTTTACCTTTTCTAGAATTTCATATAAATGAAATCACACAGTATGTTGCCTTTTGTGTCTGGCTTCTTTCACTTATAATGCTTTTGAGATTCATCCTCTGGGGCTTTGCGTGTGTCAGTAGTGGGGTCCTTTTTTTATTTCTGAGTGGTGTGATAGCCCATTAAAGACAGGGTCTAATTTAAGACAGCCCTCAACATGTTTTAACCACCCGCAGGCTCCACGTAGAAGAAAGAGGAGGTGCAGGGGGCGGTGGCCGTGGCCGGGCAGCCCAGCGCGCCCGCTCTCATGGCCCTTGTCTTTGCAGGCATGAACAACCGGGAGGTGCTGGAGCAAGTGGAGCGCGGCTACAGGATGCCCTGTCCGCAGGACTGCCCCATCTCCCTCCATGAGCTCATGATCCACTGCTGGAAAAAGGACCCCGAAGAGCGGCCCACTTTCGAGTACTTGCAGGGCTTCCTGGAAGACTACTTCACCGCCACAGAGCCCCAGTATCAGCCTGGTGAAAACCTGTAAGACCTGGGTCTGCAGAGAGAGGCCTGGTCCAAGAGGCTTCCCCGCCCCCTCCCCATTAGCTTTCAATTCCGTAGCCAGCTGCTCCGAGCAGAGCAGTGAGAACTGTCCAGGATCAGATTGCATGTGACTCTGAAGCTGACGAACTTCCATGGCCCTCATTAATGACACTTGTCCCCAAATCCGAACCTCCTCTGTGAAGCATACGAGACAGAACCTTGTTATTTCTCAGACTTTGGAAAATGCGTTGTATCGATGTTATGTAACAGGCCAAACCTCTGTTCAGTGTAAATAGTTATTCCAGTGCCAACGATCCTAGTGCTTTCCTTTTTTTAAAATGCAAATCCTATGTGATTTTAACTCTGTCTTCACCTGATTCAACTAAAAAAAAAAGTATTATTTTCCAAAAGTGGCCTCTTTGTCTAAAACAATAAAATTTTTTTTCATGTTTTAACAAAAACCAACCAGGACAGGTGTTTGTTTTTTTTTCTTTTTTCTAAATATGAATATATATAATATATACATCCCTGTACATATACCATGTGGGTGCTAACGTGGAGACGTGGGCCACAGAGCTTCGGGACCCAGAGTGAGGATTTGACTGGAAAATCAACATAAAAGCACCGGTGTTATTCTGAAAACCAGTGGCCTCGTTCTTTGGCTTTTGCAAAACATGATTTGATTTTTTTTTTTTTTTAATTTGGATTGCACTTTTTTGGTTCATGACTGTGCCTGTAGATGGCTGTTACTTTGACTCTTTTCAGCAGCACCCCCCCACCCCAACTGAATTCACAAGTTCTGTTTCCAGTATTTGCTTCGACTTACTACGATCTTGAAACTTAAAAGTGAGCCTCTTTAAAGCAAGCAAGTGGCCAATACTACCAGGGGAACTAGAAGATGGATACCACACAAACTTCTTGTATAAAACATGAATGCTGAAATGTTTCCAACTTTTTTAATTTAATAAACCTTGTAACCACATTTAAATGGTCTAAAACCCATAGCACTGTAGTCGTGGCAACCTGCTAAACTTTCTCATTCAACTAACCCTTACGGGAAGGTGAGGGTGGGAGGTCGTACATTTCCCATTGTAAAATAAGTGTTTGAATGTCCTGTACTGCTAATGAAATGACTTTCTCTATGTCCAAGGGTCCTCCAGTGAAATAACTATGCACTACTTTACATCTCATGGGGAAGCACAAAAAAAAGTATTACATTCTTAGTTGCTGTTTGTACCAACTTTGAATTACATATGTTTAACAAGTCAAAAACCCTATTTCTATTGAGTTTTTAATACTGAGTGGCAACTCTGAAGTCTTTATTCCTTTTTTGTTATGATTTCTTTGTGAGTTTACATTTTTAAATTGTTTAACTTTCTTAATTTAGTAATTAAAAAGACAGTATTTTACATTTGGATTTTTTTTTGTTCATTTGTTTAAATCATGGAAGGTACTTTAGGAGTGACATATCTGTCCCATACCAAGTGGTAAGGAGTCACCTGGAGAATTTAACCATTGTGCAATGATTTCCAAATGGCAGAAACATTCAGAACACCTGGAGTGGGGTTTTATTTCCCCGCGCCCCAAGAAAGGCTGGGCTATTGTCTAGTTAATTCAGAGGATTGTTAAAGGAAGACTAGGCATACCTTAACATTTTAATTTATCAGGCATTTTTGCTAACTAAAATTTTCTGTGTCCCACTTATAGGAGAAAGAGACAATTGCAAGAAGAATCTTTCTTGTCCTGGAGCCAATACATATGTTTCCCAGTGTCCCTCCACCCCTGTAATGAAGTCGCTCAGCAGGTGAACAGCCTGGTGTTGCAGAAGGGGCAGTAGGTGGACTGGGCCAACAGGCGGGGCCTGGCTCCGCACTCATTCAGCTGCACGCATTCAACAGCCACCTGGAATCTCGCCCTTTCAGGTCCTGTCTAGAAATGAGGGGGTTGGATGAGATTTGCTGTAGGCTCCTACATCTGAGATCCTGGGATTCTAAGATCACTGATGACGTGTAGAATTACACAAAGAGGACAGTTTTCTTGCTGAAATAGCCTTTATATTTAGAAAGTTTCTGACATTTTTTAAGTGAAACAAGAATTTTCTGGCTAACCAAGTTTTCGTGGTGTTGGTTTTGGTATTAATACAATTGCTAAATTGATAAAATTTCAAAAATCTTGTTACATACAATTATCACAATACTGGGCAATTTATTAACACGTTCTAGATATTTTTAAAGATATAACTTTGTTTTTCATCTTCACTTCCCAGTAGGTCGGATAATTTTCAAGTACTCTCTGGGGGATTTTTGTGTTTGTTTTTGACTTGGTCATTCAAAAAGATCTGAAAAAGTCATAACAGCCTGTTTTAAACAGATTTTTAAAGGAAAGCAGTCTCTTCAAAGTATAGCCTTCAATTCATCAATTGAGTTAACTGTGGATTCTCTCACATAAAGCAAAACTCAAGACCTGGGTTAACTTGAGGACACACTTATGAAATACAGCTCGCTGGAACCATTCTGAAACAGAGTAGGGTTGCAGACTAAAGGGAAAAGAGTAGCTATAAATATGAAGAAATCAGAGACATTTCAGGTTTTTTCTTCCAAGAAACTTATGTGATGCGAAGAGATCTTGCCGAGGCAGACCAGTCCAGGCAAATGAAACACCACCTCCAGGGAGTCCCAACACCTCCCAAGAAGCCTCCCTCCCTCGAAAGTTTTAGAAGTTTGGGGTTAGGAAACTAAATGCACTAACCAAAAAGTTCTCTTGTATCTTGAAAGGTGCCTTAGCGGCAAGTGATGGTGAAATATTTTTTTGTCTTTCGTAACCTGGCAGTGAGTAAGGACCTGCTCTGTTCCCTGAGGAGAGCTGGCATCTGACATTGCTCTGCTTCATACGGAGGCTTCCTAATAATCTAGTTCTTTTTACTTTCTTTTTTTTTTTTAATTGGGGTATAGGTGTTTTACAGTGTTGTGTTAACTTCTACTGTACAGCGAAGTGAGGTAGAGTCCCCTGTGCTATACAGCAGGTTCTGATTAGTTATCTATTTTATACATATTGGTGTATATATGTCAATCCCAATCTCCCAATTCATCTTTTTACTTTCTTAAAATCAAATAATAAACCTACTGGAGAAGACAACTTGCCAAAGCTCAGATGTTGTAAATGAGACAAAATGATTTTTCTTCACCCGTGCTCACTCCTCACACTGTCCTCCAAGTCCACTTTGTTCACAGCATACTGAGGGCCGGGAGGACCAGAGAGAGGACCAGTAGAGGCAGGGCCTACCCCGTGTTAGGGCATCAAGTTGTAGACTGAAGCCAATGATGTATTCCGCTCTACCTCGTGCATGGCGAAGAAAGGTGTGTAAGGAACCAGACATTTCCACAAGATAAGTTAAATGTATTCATAGTCCTTCAAATACAGCCACACAACTGAAGATTCCCTGACAAGTGCCAGAGGGTGTTTACCTGCCTCGAGAAAGACAGGAATCCCCCTGTGGTTAAATCTTGGCACCAGAGGACTTTTTTCTAGTTGTATTGGAGCTGCAAAATTTTTATCTGAAATTTCCTATGGGACTTTAAGAATGTATACTGTATTAATTGGAATAGTTCTTTCATGAGTCCTGAAGAAGGTAAGGTTTTCAGCAGAATGCAGAGGAGGATGGCACTGAAGCCCGCTGCATGAGGCATGTCATCTGCTCCTTTGTCATGGCTCCGGACAAGAGAACCTTACTTGACATAATAGGCATTTCCTAACAAGTTGCACTGGGATAAAATGGCGTTTGGTCGATTCATCGCCGAAAGGTATTTTAATAGGTTTAGATAAGTTTTGTTGGCTTTCTTACCACTATATATTAAACTGTTGGAATTCAATTAGGCCCTCCAAAATATTTGCTGGGAGGGAGGGAGGGAGGGAGGGAGGGAGGGAGAGAATAAGGGGGAAGGAGGTAAGGAAGGGAGGGAGGGAGGAAATAATTCCGGAAGGGCAAAAGGGGGAGCGAGAAGAAAGGAAGCTCAAACAAATTCTTATCCTAAAAATGATATTGTGGGGTACAGATTTACTAAGGCAGGTGCTAATAGTATATATATTTTATTTCTCAAATATAGATTGTAACCACGGAGAAGAATGAAATTAGTATTTCATGAAATACTGAATACTTTTCAACAGGATGAAAAATTAGTATCTCTAATATCTTTGCAATATCAAATGAAATTTCATAATTTATGTATACCTACATTCTCAGAAATTTTTCCTAAATCGTACCTCATTCTTTCCAAACATGCAAAATATTCAGAATTCCATTGCGGGGGTGGAGATATACCTTATTTTTTAAATTACTTCTGATGACTGGAAAGAAAAATAAGTGGTTTTCCAGTATGACAGGGACTATTCTAAGGAGAATGTGATCAGTGACAAATGACTGCTCCCCCCAGCAGCCAGGACCCTATGCTCCTTTCCAGAATACTTACTGCTCTTCTAATAATGTGTTTAATAATATGACTCTTCTCTTAATGCATTTTCCCTGCCAGATTGTGAGCTCCTTGAGAACAGAAACTGCCTTACTTGTTCACCAGTCTTCTGCGCCAAGGGCAGTGATGAGCTGATGGTCGATGTTGGATGAGTGGGTGGATGGCTAGATGGGTGATGCCTTCCTGTGGGGTGAAAGGTAGACCTGAGAATAACACACCTAAGGGCCTGCTGAGCATCCCGGGATTTGCTGTGAGCTGCCCAAGGCACTAGCGCTGCCATTGTGAATGTGGGCTCACCAGTGTCCATACATGATTTGAAGCCCCAGTCTGTGGTCTGAAATGAACACCGTTAGTGCTTCCCGAACCTTGCCCCAGAACTCGTCCCAACATCAATGGGAATAAACCTGTAGCCCCTGGGACCTGGGGCCTTCAAAGTCTCATTCTAACTTAGTCATTTTATGAAAAATTGGTATTTTTCCTAAGATATCCATTTTTCACCTTCATATAAAATACTTTTCCCATCCTTCAGGTTGTGCATTGTTAACCAGCCTGTGGCTTGTAGTATCCCTGGCAAACCTCTGCATGACCCAGGGAGTGCATGTGCCCCGCTTGAGAACCACACCGCATGAAGATGTTGTCCGTAAAATAGTACTGCCAACATGAAAATATTGTAGTCGGGAGAGGTAACATTAACCCCCATCAATATGGATTCTCTTTATTTTATTCCCTTTTTCACCCAGCAAAAAATAGCCCCCTGACTGAGAATGGGACAGAAGATGGGAGGGTTTGATAATGGGAAGAGGAAAACCATCCAGAGCTGCCTGGAAGTGAAGGTTTGGTCAGGTCAGCCTGCTGGTACAAGATGGCAGCAAATGGGAGTAGACGGGGTGGAGATGTTGGTCAAGGAGGAAGAAGCCAGAACTGGGATGAAAGAAACCCTTTGCCAGGGCTCTTCAAGGCAATGGGATGACCAGAGAGATGACTTTGGGTATGAGCAAGGACTCCACCATTCATTTCTTCTGCAAACGTTTGTTGAGTACTTATTATGGGTTAGACCCTGTGCTTAGCACTAGAAAGCCAAAGAGACAATTAGTATCCCCAGTCCAGTGAGGATGGAGACCCATAAGAGATAGTTGCAATAAGCTCTCCGTTGGGAGGAAAGACGGGTGGCAGCAAAGGAGTGCCAGATGGCCCGGAATGGGGAGTGCATGGGAGACTTCCTAGAGGAGGTGTTCCTAAAGGACAAGCAAGGTGGATTATGTAATGCTTAATGGTAAGCTCAGTGTTTTTTGCCTTTGGATGTGTGTCCTTCTGATCCCCAACCCCATTAGGGTCCAGCTCATGCTTTAAATATAGAAGGTGCTCAGCAAATGCATCTAAATTAAGAGAAACCAAAACGAAGCAAAGAAAAATCTAAATCTCTTCTTCTCCCTCCTCTCCACAAACACAGACATTAAAAGGTACGTAGGTGCATCATTTATTCTGATTAGTGCACTGCTACCTGGAGGGATGGGAGATAATACCATAAAGGGACAGAGAGTAAGGTTTCAGGCAGGGTTTTGGGATGTGGTTTGGACTATATTTATAGAGTACGAGAATAAGAGAATTGCCTGGAAAGGGGCTTATAATAACGCCTCACTTCCTCTCTTAATAAGGATTAGTAGGGGGTTTTCTCCCACTGATGACCCCATTTCATTCTTTCCTCTCCCATTTGTGAGGCTAGTTTGCTTGAATCATCCAGCAATATGTAAACTCATGAAAGAAGGTATATACTAGCTGTTGCAAGGTATTCTGTTTGTTTTGTTTTGGAATTCTTTTCCCTTTGGTTAATTTTCAAGTGCTTGCTATGTAATAATCAATGAGCAGCTAATTGGCAGTAAGAATGAAATGGGTGTTATTCAGATAGTGTTTTTAACAGAAGACGTACGTGTAACACTGTGGGGAAATATTAGTAAACAGCAAGAGATTTTAGTGTGTGTGTGTGTGTGTACAAAAGGATTCATTTAAAGCCCCTCAGAAACTAAATCCAGGTGTGTGAATCCTTTCATTTTCAGACTCCTCCCAAGGGGTGAGCGGAGCCCCTAGAGATTGCCCTGGAACACAAACCACCCTAAATGGAGCCTGAAGGTCTGTCAGTTCCCAGAGAGCAATGAGGAAATGGTAAGCAAATGGTAGCAGTTGCATAGAGAATCAGGGAATGAATAACAGTGCTTTCTGGTAAATTAACCATATTACATTGTGCACAGCAAAGTGATAGAAAAACCCTGTTAAAAATTGAATAATAATTTGCCCACATCATTTACGTAAAATGCATAATTTTCCTACTTCAGTGGACTTTAGTTTGATTTAAAATATGCACAGCTCCAGTCCTGTTCACCAAAGCATAATTTGTGAGATAATTGGGAAGGGAAAGAGGAATCAGACCGTAATCAGCCCAATTCTGTGTGAACCACTTCACTTCCTCCCTCACCTGTGCATTTTGGAAAATATTTGTTTATACGTTCCTGAAGATCTCTAAGTGAGAGTGCAAGGCATTCATCATTGTCACTGCTATCACTAAACCATGACTTCACCATGTTTGAGAGGGGGAAAGCAATGCTTCATTCTCTTCAGTGTTTTTCTGCTTTAATTCAAATAAGTACTAGTTTTTGAATACTAGGGAAAATGGAAATGTAGCAAAGCTGTACTTAAAACAGCAAGCCAAGAACAAAAGCAACAGTGCACAGCCAAAGGAGACCTTGGAAGATACATAGATAAAACAAAAAGCTGTGCTTGGCTGGGACTCTGTTTCAGAATCAAATGCAAAATGGAGAACATTGTTTCAACTGCAAAGATTTTGCAGTCTATAATATCTGAAATAGAAAGGCATCATGTAATCCACCTTGACATTCAGAAGCTGTGCTATTGCTATGAGTTATGATACTGGTTCCTGACTAATGGAGGTTTCCAGAACCAGAGTGGTCAGAGGTGGTGTGGAATTCCGGCAGTGGACTGGGTACCCTCCACTTAAACAGTGAGTTCCCATGGCAATCACTGTCCTTTTTCCTTCCCCTCCCTCTGCTCCCCACCCCCACCAGAACCATAGAAATTTTATTCAGATATTCACTCATTCTCTTCATCCCCATTTCTCCACAAAGGGTCATTATTTACTTATTCCAGTGAGCTCTTAAATCTCAACTTTTCAGGGCAAGTGTGTAGCTGATTCTCTCTGCTTCTCCTGAGTACTCTTCTTTTGTTGGCCAAATCCTGCCTCCTCTAAAACCCTGCTGGCCCCAAGAAGCTGAATCTTGAACCCCACAAATCTCAGCACTTCTTTCTCTTGGGTGCCTGTTTTGGATGAGCAAAGGGCCCCCCCGCAATCCTACTACTCCTCCCCACTTCTTCCTTTTCTCCTACTAACCCCTGCCGCTGGCCGAAGATTTATTAGACACTAGTTTTGTCCCTATGCCTTTTGCCACTAACTATAAATTGCCTTTCTGCAAATTAGAAAAAGCTACTCTACCTCAAGACACTTTGCTGCCACCTGCCAGAAAACTACTGTAATAAATATGCCAAGAGATCATGACTAGAATGCAAATGGTGCCCCCTAGAATTGTGCAGTATACAACTGGCACAACTGTATGTGGCAACCCTGTACTTGGAAATCACCTGAGTTATCCAGGAAGCTGGTTGTAAAAGTAAGAACACAGCAGATCAGTCTTGCCTTTTTATGACAGTTAGCAATTTCAAAATCTAAATCTTTCGACCATGATCGAAAATTGCTGAGAGGTAATTTCTGGAAGAGACAAAGAGCCCCCAGGCAGCAATTCTTACAAGAATAAAGGGCTCTTGATTCAGCCCAAGATTTGGCCTGCTGGCTGGGCAGATATAGCCCAAACCACATTGGGTTGATTTTCAGGAAGCATCAGTTAGAAAGCTGGTAAGTCTCAATGCTGTGGGTGCAGGAGGAAAGTGAACTTGGCTTATATTTAGGTCGACCATTCCCCCTCCCTGGCGTCGGCTGCTTCGGTTCTTGTTGATCGCCCCATCTGTTCCCCTCCCTCCTTCACATCCAGCACAACCTGCACGTTCTGATGATCTTTTGCCACAAAACAAACTCCCCCAAAACTTAGCGGCAGAAACAGAAATAGTCATTTATTTTGCTCATGAGTCTGCGACTTGGACAACACTCATCAGGGACATCTCTGCTCCATGCGGCATCAGCTGGGGCAGCCCCTTGGGACTGAGGGACCCACCTTCCCAATGGCTTACGCACGTCCACACGGCTGATGAGTTGATGCTGGCTGCTGCCCAGGAGCTCAGCTGGGGCTCTTGCCGAGGGCTTTGGGTCCTCTCCATTTGCGCTCCCAGGTGGCTGTGAGGGCTTGTTGACACCGTGGAGCCCATGCTAAACCACCAGTTGACGCCTCATGGAGCAGAGACAAATTGCCCCCACCAAGCCCTGCCCAAATTTCAAATTTCTGAGAAAAATAAATGACTGGTTTTAAGCCACTAAAGTTTGGGATGGCTTGTTCTGCAGCAGTAGATCACCAGAATGTACAGGTGGGGCTGATCGTGGTGTGAATCCATTCCCACATCTTTCTGTGATGCCTCCCGGTGCTATGGAATCAAGGAAGCAAAGAAAACTACATTTCCCAGACTCCCTTACCACGAGGATCATGAGTGTCGATCAGGCCATACCAGTGAGACATATTAACGCAAAGTTGGGAAGGCAGAAGCGAAGCAGAAGCCAATTTCCTGCAGATCTTGTCTGTTTTCTGCTGGAAAGCAAGGTCATGGGGCCACTGAGGGCCAATCTCCAGCTTCGTAGGTGTCAGGAGTCAGCTGAGGAGGTGGCAGTGGCTAAGCTCGACATCCCAACATGCAGGCAGATGTTCCCAGCTTTCTGACCACATTCTGACCATTGTATTGCAGCTACAATGTTCATGAGGTCAACAGTGCCAGTGGCAGCCTCCTGAGTCCCACCTCCCTGAATGTGGGAAAGGTGGCTGCCCTCCTGGCAGATCAGTTCTGCCACATTCTGGGAGTCATTCCCGGAAATCCAGCATAGAGCCCTCTCTTCCAGCCCTTCCAGCGAGTTTGTAATTCCACCTTTTTGCCTAAAATCCCTAGTGTGGTTACTCTTCCCTGCATTGAACCCTGCAACTGACACCCAGGTGATCCTTAACATGCTGCCCCTTGTCAGCCGCTTTTGTTCTTGCTTGCTTGCTTGCTTTCCCTCATTTAATCATTCCTTTGGCAAACATTTATGGCATATTTACCACGTGCCAGGCATTGTGCTAGACCTGGAGGAAAATCGATGAACTAAACAGACATGGCTCCACCCTAGTGGAAGGAGCCAAGGCAAAAGACCAGGAGACAGCAAACTACTACCCTCAGGCAAAATCAGCGCCCTGCTCATTTTGTTTTCTTGGAACACAGCCACACCCATTCACTTCTGTCTTGGCTACAGCTGATGTTTCCCTACAGTGGCAAATTTCAGCAGTTGCAGAAGAGACTGTATAACCCAAGAGCTGAAAATATTTACTACCTGGTTTTTCACAGAAAATGTTTGCCAGCTCCTGCATTAGATAAATAAAACTCCAAGTCAGAATCCTGTTGCCCCCACATCCAATCAATCGCTCTGTCCATTCTGCGGACACATGTGCCAAGCTCCAATCTCAGCTCTGAGCACTCCATGAGAACCATCTTATTTAGTTCTCACAACAACCTTTGGAACGTACCGTTATAATCTCTGCTTTACAGAGAAGGAAACTGAGATTTAGAGAGATTGGGGCTGGATGACTGAGTAAATGGTGAGAGCATTAACGGAGATGAAAGTCCCAGGAGGAGGAACTGAGAGTAGGCAGGAGCTGGTGGACTCGGTGTGGACTCAGGCACGTGAGGTGCCTGCAGACATCCATGAGAGGCTATGTTCGCTGATTTCCTGCTTGGTGTGGTGGGAAGGCATGATTTCAAGTCTTGCCCAGTTTTAGGTTCAAATCACAATTCTTCCATTACTAACTGTATGACTTTGGGCCAGCTACTGCTTCACATCTCCAAGCCTCTTCGCTTCTGTCTCCTCACGAGTGAAATGGACTCGTGTCAAAATGAAATAAGGGAATATGCACACAGCATCTAGCGTAGTGCTTGGTACGTGGAAGGCATTTGATCTGTGTGGGCACCTCCATCTTCAGTCTATCCTTCACATGGTGGAGAGTAACCTAAAATCTCAGCTGTGATTGTGTTGTTCTCCTATTTTACAAATATAATGGCTGGGCTTCCCTGGTGGTGCAGTGGTTGAGAGTCTGCCTGCCGATGTAGGGGATGCGGGTTCGTGCCCCGGTCTAGGAGGATCCCGCGTGCCGCGGAGCGGCTGGGCCCGTGAGCCATGGCCGCTGAGCCTGCGCGTCCGGAGCCTGTGATCCGCAACGGGAGAGGCCACAACAGTGAGAGGCCCGCGTACCGCAAAAAAAATATATATATATATATATAAAATGGCTCCCACTGACCCCCACTGGTGGAAGGGGACACGTTTGGAGGGGCTGCCCAGTCCACACCCCTTTCTTTAAACTCCCTACACCACAGCACTACACTCTCTACTGAAGGTCAGGTTTTTACCTTATGACCCTCCCCGGCACCAGAACAGATGACGATACCAGGTCAGATGCCTGACAGGGAAAACAGTCCATTGACTGGCCACTAGCTAATGGAGTTGTCTCCTTTAAGTTGGGACCGAGAATTAAGAGGCTGTGGTGACAGACGCTTGGCCTACAGGTTAAGTTGAGTCAGGACCAGAGATGGCCCCATGGGGGAGCAGAGGATGCAGTCTGCAGAGAGAATCTGTGTCTGGAGACCATGGGCCACCAGAGAAAGAGTGCCTGGGAACAGCTGCTGTCCAGCACCTGTATCTGCAGGTCCAGCTCTACTTCCTGAGCACCATTTCTACGAGATTCCTCAAACCCCTGCAGACACCATTTTGTCACTGGAGCTAATTCCAGGGAGTTTAGGCCCCTGCAGTCCAGCTCTACTGTTTGCCAGCCTCATCTCTCCTGTCCCCTCTACCATCACCCCCGCCCTGGATCCTGGCTGCTGAACTGCCCACAACTTCTCAAGCATGCTCTGCACTGCTCCAGTGTTTCCCCCTTGCCTAGAATGTTCTTTTGCCGTCTCTTCTCTTT